AGAGAGAGAGAGAGAGAGAGAGAGAGACTCTCAGGCAGGCTCCATAATCGACACTGGACCTGATGATGGCCTTGATCTCATGACCCTAGGATCATGACCTGAGCAGAAATCAAGAGTCCAACACTCAACCCACTGAGCCATCCAGGCGCCCCTAAAATACCAGATTCTTGAAACTGACATTTTTTTTGATCCTTGATCCAGCCATGCCTGAATCTGACTATGCTTTTAGAGTTTTTGTTGTTATAAAAAATTTTCCTTTTTAATTATTATTATTATTATTATTATTATTTGCTGGAGCTCATTTGAGTTGGAGTGTGTGTGTGTGTGTGTGTGTGTGTGTGTGTGTGTCACAATCAGAGTCCTGGCTAATAGAAATGAATAAGGCTTTGCCAAATGAAAAAGATTGAGAAAGGAGATATTCCGAGATGAGTGATAAAATTTACAGGGACCTGGAGGTATGAAATAGCAGCATGGCCAGTGGCAAGCTGTACCATAGTGTGTACAATAGTGTTGGCAGCCGATTGAAGTCAGGTAGAAGTGTACGAATTCAGTCTGGACACTTGAGAATCTAGTCAATTGGGAGCCATCGATTTTTCTAGATCAGGGGAGTTCCACACTCAGAACTCTCCAGCGGGAGGCAGTGCGTGGATAAATTAATGTATTTGCCTCCGACCTGAGAGATAGGTCCAGACGCTAGAAGACTGAATCTCAGAGAGGACAGCCACCACACAAGGTCCCAGAGACCGTCCTGACTCGACCGAGTCTGAGCTTACCGAGCGTCCTCAAACTACAACTTCCGGCATGCAACGCGAGCGACCCCCTTTCCCTCTTGGTTTGCTCCAGTTCCAAGCCTGACGATTGGTCTTTCGGGCTGTTTGTCAGAACGGAGTCGGATCCTGATTGGCTAGATTCCCTCGAGGTGCTCAGAGCCGCAGGTCAGCGGACCGCGCTCCCGCGGGCGACATGGTGAGCCGGCTGCCCCCTGCATGGGGCGCCCTGAGGGGTGGGAGACCCTCTGACGGGGTCCAGGGAGACACCGAGAGGACGGGGATCTCTTTGTGGGGACTGGGAGCTCTGAGGGACTCTGGGTTGCGCTGAGGGCCTTGTGTCCCTCTCTGGGTTCAGAGTCTCGCTGCCAGACCTATGTGGGGGTTGAGGGTTCTGCCTATGGGACTGGAGGCCCCTCAGCGTTCGGGAATTCTGGAAGATCTCCGGGGACCCTCCAGGGGCCTGGAATCATGTGGAGGGTCGCAGCCCTGCGAAGGGGACTGGGGAGCCGAGAACGTACGGATCCTCGCTAGGGAGGTCTGGGGTCCTCCTGGAGCCCACGCTGGCGACGTGGGTCCTGCAGAAACATGGGGCCGCTGCGTGTGTTGGGGTGTGTGGAAGGGCCAGGGAGAGCCCTGGGAGGAGGCGCCAAGTCGAAGGTATCTGGGTGGCCGCAGGGCGAGGCAGGGTCTCAGAGCTGGACACAGCACAGTTGGAACCTTCAGGTCGCACGTGGCTCTGGGTCCAACCTATTGACTTTATCCTTAAAATTTAGCCTGGCCACTTGTGGGTTAGGCTGATGCGGGGCGAGAGCGGGAACTCCCAACACCTAGGTGTTCAGACCGGCAGAAGGAGGGGCCCTGGAACATGACCCGACCCTGCCTGGGAGAATCCCCAACCAGGGGGGGTTGGAGGTGCGCCTGAACGTGAAAAGTGGACGTGGTTCCAGGCCCAGGTGCAGGAAGCTGTGGGAGGTGAGCGGAGGGGTTCTCAGGAACAGGATGGAGGAAAGTCTCATTGGTGTTAGCAGATAGTAGGATTCTTGTATTCTCGGATTGTAGATCCCGGGAAAGGCTTTGAGCAGGAGAGGGACATAGGCTGATGGGAGGCTCCAGATATCTTTGGAGATCAGCAGAGCCAAAACCGCAAGACCGGAGGCTGCTGGGGGGCGGGCCTTGAGAAACATCCCTGGATCGACCTCGGGAGCCTCAGGTGGAGGGATGCCTGCCTCTCTTTCCCTTCCCTTTCTCCTTCTTCCCTCCCTCTTACTCTCTCCTCCTTCCTTCCGCTCGGCCTGTCCTAGGTGCTGGAACCGAAGTTAGAACAACGAGTCCCCTCCCTGGGAGGTATCAGAGGGTGATGGGGTCTGCAGTGGAAAGCCCGGAGGTCTGGGAGGGCCTCTGAGACCTCAGTGGTTGGACGCTGGGAGGGCTGCTGAGAGAACCGGGCAGTTACAGGCAGTGAGGCAGGGTGTCTTGAGCTGGGCCCGCCAGGCCTTGCGGGCTGCGAAAAGGAGTTGGATGTTCACTGACGTCCTGGGTCCCCTGGAAGAGCAGAGTGCTGTGTCCGCGGCAGTGATGCGCGGGTACTGGGGCCTCCCGAGATGATCTGCGAGCTCCACAGAGAGGTCCAGGCTAGAGGTGCTGCTCTGCTGGGTCGTGCTGAGCGGTACGTGGTTAAAAGCCTAACAGGGGATTGAGTACCAAAGTAGAGGCCGCAGAGGGAAGAGAAAAGTCGGCAGGGGAGCCCCAGGATCTGATGTCTGAGGAGGCGTGGATGGGAGGTTCTGGGCGCAGGGAGGGGCGGAAGAGGATCCTAGGAGGAGGGGCGGGCCCTCCTCACTGGGCTTGGAAGGGAGCCTCCTGACCCTGACCGTGCACAGGGTCTTTTGTGACCGCTAGCCAGTCGGCACTTGGGGGTTAGTTAGGGAGGGTGAGCAGTGAGAATAGGAGATTAGTGTGATTTACAGACCTGACCTTATTACTGAGCAAATGTTTCTGGTTTCAGTTTACAAGTTACAGGCCTAGAGGGGTGCCTGGGTGGCTAAGTCAGTTTAGCAACCTACTCTTGATTTCAGCTCAGGTCATAATCCCAGGGTTATGGGATCGATCCCCGCCCTCCCCCAATTGGGCTCCACTAAGCGTGGAGCCTGCTTGAAATTCTCACTCTCCCTCTGCCCTTCTCCCCTGCTTGCCCTCTCTCTCTCTCAAATTAAAAAATAAAATAAAATAAAAAAGCAAGTTATAGGCATAGAGAAAATACCCGGTTAGTTATTTTAATGATGGATTTCTCAGCAGTCATTCTGAATTCCTGTGCTATCCTGTTACCCATCACACTAGAGCTTTTCCTATTAAAGTTAGCATGTTTTTGCCTGATTAATGGGTAATTTTAATAAGTAATTTTAATATTAATTACTTTAATGTTAAAATTAAAATTTAATATTATATCATAAAATCTAAAATATTAATTTTAATATTAAAGTAATCTTTAGTTCCCTTTTGTTGTTAATTATCATACGATAATACTAGTCGACAGCTCTCCTGAGCACATAATTTTATATAATGACATAATTACTGATACCAAATTGGTATTTACTGCATTCAAGCAGGAAAACCCAGCATCAGACTGATTACCAAAAGCGTTTCTTCTAGAACGTTTTACAAATTAATAGCTGAAAACGTGTTATGAATTGTTAGAAAGTTTGTTATGTAGACCTTGATGAGAAATTCCTAATTGAAAAAGTCATCCCACTCAAATGTACAGTCTTTGTCCTGAAACTGGTAGTGGCCAGGAAATAGGCTTTCCAAAGAGGTTGATTACAAAGGGAGGGAGAAGGAGAAGGCGATGGAATCATCAGGATAATTTAAGGTGGGAAAGACGGGGACAGAACTGCCAAGGTGAACTAGGATGTGTGGGAGACGAACCTCTTTCCTGGCTGTGCCAGGCTCGCTGTAGGTCCGGAAGGTGGTCTTCACAGCACATGAAACAAAATAGGCAGCATCCCATTTCCAGATGCGGAAACCGAGGTCTCAGGGAGACGAATACCTGAAAAACCCACAGCAGAGGCCAGAAGGGAACCCCAGTCTCTACTCAAGCGTGTGCTCTCTACCACCTTACAGGCCAGCTAGGTGGTGGTGTTAGGGAGTGGGGGGATCCACACACAGCAGGAACTCCCAGGGTTGAGTCTGAGCCCACTGCAGGCCCTCCAAGGTGCAGCTGGAGTCTGGGGGGTGCACTCTCCCCAACCTGGCCCCAGCCTCTATAAATAGCCTGAGTTCTAAGGGAGTGAGCTTGTGACCTTCTGGCAGGCACTGCCCTTCATGTCCCCTCCCCCCAGGCGGTCCTGGGAGTGCAGCTGGTGGTGACCCTGCTCACCGCCACCCTCATGCATAGGCTGGCACCGCACTGCTCCTTCGCACGCTGGCTGCTCTGCAATGGCAGGTGAGCCACAGCCCCGCCCCGCCCAGGTGGTGGGAGGAGCCCCACCGGGCCCCGCCCCCTGTGCCCCCCCACCCCCCAGCCTCACGTCCTGCAGTGTTTCTGGTTTTTTTAAAACAACGTTCTTGAGTTGTGCTTGACGTACAATAAACTGCAAATGTCTGAAGCACACAGTTGGGTCCGTTTTGACAGATGTCCACACCCATGAGACCACATCTCCACACGTGGAAGAGTAGCTGCTTCCCCCCACTCCTGCCTTGCCACACAGTCCAACCCCTTCTTCCACACTGCTCTCGCTGGAGATCTGTTTCCTGCAATGCTTTTTGTCCCTGTTTGGATCTCGGACACTCTGAGATCCGGTGGGAACTGTGAACTTTTTCTCCCCGACAACGCACATGCCTTCTCTGCCAGAAGAGATTGTCAGCAGATTTCAGGGGTGTCCAGGACCCCTCCCCCATCCCC